TCCATTTCAAATAAGCAGTACGCTGTCCCACGTTCAAGTTAATTCAAACGCATAATTCTCTAATTATTTCGAATATCGCGCGAGCGTAAACCCTCGAGATCTGAAGAACGTCACTGAGTAACTTAATTAACTTGCCACGCGTCTGTGCATAAAAAGTGTGCCTCTTTGAAGTCTATCCCTCAAATCGCTAATTCGATTATCCCCAGGTTCCCTCGGAACACTCCGAGCGTATATTCAATTACGATATCTTCTTACCGTGCACGCAGTACTAGACGTCAACTGTTCGATCGATCGTATCCGATGAAAGTTCGAATTGATCTCGCAAAAAAAGAGAAAAGCCCGACGCAGGAATTTTCCTTGAAACGCCATTCCGTAGAAGCGTTCCAAGCTGCTCGCACAAATATCGGCACGTGACGGCGAATAATTCCCTCGCGTCACCGGCAAAAACATCGCAACGCCGCGTCACGTTCGCCTCGATGAGATATTGCTGATCATTTCGCGAGTCGGTTATCGGAGATCGTTTCAATTTCCCGTGCGTCGGCCTCTTGTTCAACGTCGTGAGCTTCGACGTATCATGACGGACGGCCAGCCGAGCGACACCATTTTTCTTCGACGCGAAATTACCTCGGGCTCTTTAACAAACGTCGAGTCATTGTTATCGCGCCGGCGAATGACGTGTCCGTCGCCGTTTTCGCGATAAATCGTGGAAAATCGAGACGAAACGCCGCCATCGTCAGCCTCGATTTTCTTCGTCGTTAATGTTCGTGCTCGAATGAGAAAGCAAAATAAACAACACGAATTGCATTCATCCAGGAACGGGTCGGTTCGTACGCGAGTAAAGGAGCAACCGGGTCTGACCACCAACCTCCTGTTTTACTGTCGTGCTCCGACCGCGAGATCCTATCAATCCAACCTTCCACCGCTTTTTATTCCGGCCCCTCTCGCAATTAGGCGAATGTTTAATTGATGTCCCGTACGAATGATTCGATGGAAGCATCTTGCAGGTAGCGAGCAGCGACCCATTTTTTTTGCAATCGAATTTCCCAATTACACGGAGATTTAATTGACGTGCTCGCGCGACTGACTGATTGCGCTCGCTTTAGAATGAACGAAATTCGGCGGAGCTCGCGATGGGAAACGTTTCGTAAATTCGAAGTGGTTCAACGATGCATTAACAAAATCACGGTAAATATTTTCCCTCGCGAGTACGATCCTGATTCACTGGTAAATTCGAAACGGAGTCATCGATGTTGGCCTAAAATTTCTACTTACCTTCCTGTTTCAGAAAATCGGATTTTCTCCATGTCTCCAGAGACCCAGTTTTCCTGTCGTCGAAACGAAATCCAACCGCAGCTTGTTCGTGGAAAAATCCTGCTGTTTCTCGTTCGTCTGACAGAACTAAACTGAACACAAAAAACACAACACAATTGTCCGTGAAGGAATAGTGATCGAGAGAGAATGCCTCGTGTTGCCGGCAATCACCGATGCCCGGTTCAAACCGATACGTCTACGAAGGCGTCGCGGCGCTCACTGCGGAGACTCCGCTGCGTACCCGCCCTTATAGCATCGTGTTGCGCTCACACCGCACCCCCTCCCCTCTCGCTTCTCCCCTCCCTCAGGAACCACGGTTTCTCTCGTTCCTGGCTCGCCGTTTTGACCCCCTGCGCCGTACCTCCACCCCTCCCGCCCATTCTACCTGTACCTCACCTGCACCATCGACACACTGCCATCCACCTTACAGGATAACGCAAGCGTTCTGGAATAAGCGTTCAAAGGACCAGCATTCTTCGCGTATGCTTCGGCACCTCCTTCACGGAGAATCAGAGATTGCGACCGAATTGATTTCACCGAGATACCTCTTGCTTTTATTAATTTCCTCGAATTATTGGGATCATTGCAAATACGGTGGAACATCAAAATATTTTTTAATAAAAGCTTCTATCGACTCACCTTGTGTAGCGATGATGTCCGTCTTCCTTTTTAGGTTCCTTTAACACTAACTTATTTATGGAACCTTCGCATTAAGTACCTTTAATTTATCTACGGATCTCGTCGAAATTTAGGATCCTTTAAATTATTTTACGTTTCATCCCTTATATATTTAACACTTTACTTTATTTTTCATATAAGTTCATAAAATTAAATAATAACTAGCCATATATTGGAATGATGTAAAAATACAGATCTACCACTTTAAATATAAAAAATTAGATATACTGAAACTAAAATGGTTGACAGAAGTCTGTGACTTCGAAGCAGGTGGTATCAATAGACTTTTGGCATAGTCGGTCAACGATAATTGATAATGATAAACAATGATTGATCGTGATTTCATAAGGTTTCCATTATACAAAAGGCAAGGTAGGATTACCTAAACTTGCTCCAATTTGCCAGAATGCACTACAACTCGGTTGGACCTGCTCCAGAACTCATCATACCGAGCGTGAACTCCCCTCACCTCGTGCTAACCTTCCCCAAATCGTGCAGATCCACTTGAAATCGCGGTAACTCTCTCCAAGCTTCTTCAATTTCTTCGAAATAGCTTCGGTATGAAATACCATAGTAAAAATACCCCCGGTATTAATTGCAGAGGAAAATGTATTGAAATACCTTGCTATTCAACTCCTCTTCAATCTTTAATTAATTGCAGCAAGATTCTGATCCTTTTTTGATTCCCAGTCAACTACCTAACGTCTTAATTCCTAATTTTATTCATTCATTCGACGAATCCATTAAGACTAAACCTACCAGCATATAATGTGTACTTAATTCGAAATTAAAAAATAAATAATCAAACGATAAAACATTTATTCTTAATTTTGATGAAAATCAATTCTGATTTCAAGGAATGTATTTTGATGAAATGAGTACCTTTAGTGTCAAATAACAGTGCTAAATATCGTAGATGATTATACAGAATTAAAAATGCAGTTTCTGAAAGCGATGCAGTTATAGTCTATGATTCGAGTTGGTACTAATTACCCCGAATGCGTTTGCTCGATTCATATCGATCCTCTCCGGGATTTACCTCAAGTTTCTGCCACCTAAGTGAAGAACCAAACCCCTATGTGGAACCCGCCCTAAACCGAAGTAATCCTAGCTGAGATCAACATTCTAACTCGCGTTAGTTCAGCTGAACCCTCGAAAATCCCCAGATCCGACATCGTTCGCGTCGAACCTCTCTCAGTTGGCCGCGGATCCGCTCGAACGCGT